GGAAGCAACCTGTGCAGTCGTATGGAAAAGGCGGGTGTAGATCTTGGGGGGTGGGGGGTGACCATATATATATATATATATATATATTATTTCGAAAACTAAGGCCCCAAAAAGGCTTCCCTGTATAGGAGTGCCCCGGACGTTCCCGGAGCGAGCTCAGACTGAACAGTGGCTTGTTGTAGTTAGGACAGGGCCCAGTCGACAGTCCTTTTAGTTTCACGTGCTTGTACATTCTAGTTGGGCCAGGAGCTTTACGAGATATACAGTTAGGACAGTTGAGGGGTTTAGGGTTTAGGGTTTCATTATGCAGATTGTAAGGTTGCTCCCCTGTAGTAGCTAGAGCTGGAGAGCGCCAAAACCGTCAAGCTGCCTCGCCAGAGGCCCAGACGGCGTGCCTGGCAAATGCCGGCTTCCCAGCCCGAGACGGTTTGAACCAGATGGGAGTTTCCGAAAATTAGGGGTACCTTATTTTGGGGTCCTTATACTAAGGATCCTATTAATTAGGGTGCTATATTAGGGTCCCCTATTTTCAGAAACCCCCAGATCCCACGAAACCTCAAAGCTCTTGGGCTGTACAGTTACTGGGCCTCGGGGGCACGCATGAATGAGCATGGGTGATGTGGGCCCGCCCCGCTCCAGGTTGAATGGGGATCTCTGTTGCTTGCAGTCTGGGCAGCTCCAGGGGCTGCAAAATTTCGCTAACTTTTTTGGGCAATGTTGGGAATGTCCAAATAGCACTCGACTTTCCGAGTTGCAAAGACTGAAGCACATTGAAATCGGCGCTGGTGGACTGAGATGGGCTCGTGGCGATGCGCTTCAGGGTGCGCCCTTGCATTCCTTGGCTGGCGATGGCCAGGATGCGGAAGTGCGGCACTCAAGTTCCTCCTGTCGCAAGCATTTCACCCGGCTGCAACTGTCCCAGTTCTGGGGCATACCTCGGAGAAAGTTCACTTCACGGTTGCTTTGTCCTTGTCATGCAACATAGATCAACCTAAAGGCTGAACCCTACTGCAGCCCCCTTCTGCCGGTGAGACTCGGAGCCGAAATAGACTCAAACTCTTCAGTCTAGCGATCTTGTTTTATCCTGTCTTGTGCGTGAGACTTGGAGCCTCCTCCAAAACAGAGCTCGTCTTGGCTCGAAGTAGCGGTAGAGCGAGCCTCGGCGCTTTCACACTTGGCGCCATGGGATGCACCGCACTCAGCAGGGCTCAACGTGAACTGGGGCTTCAAGGCTTGGGGTTCGGTGCAGAAAATGCCGTCATTAGGTCTTTACACAAGATGGATGCTGTGAATCAAGACGTTATTTTCCATCATGATACAAACAGACATCGGGCAGTTCGGGCTGTCACAGGTGCAAGAAGCGGACAGGAGGCCCACAACCACACTGGCATCATTATGATAATCGACACTTTGAGTGGTGTCAGAAATTGAGCCATGTCATTTCCTGTGTGGAAGGAGTTCCTAGCATGCCCATGCAGTTGTACATACAGTTACAGATGTGCCAGAGGTGCGGGACTCAGTTACGTTGCAACTGTATATTTAGTCAGGCTGCTCGTTAACAACAGTTCATGATGCTGTATCACATCTTGATACCTCATAGGCGTGCCGAAAATGTTTGAGGTGTTTGGTGCTGGTGTGGGATCGCTCCCTTCTGTTGAATGCTAGCGGTTGCACCATCATCATCCCGTCGGAACGGCCTGCATTCCACTCAATACACCCTAAACCCTAAACGCCCAGGCTCGTCCGAGTGTGAGTGCTGAAGCCCGAAAAGCCCAAGGAATCAACGGTTGCTCATGACTTCAGGATGACAGGAAAAGCGGGTGAGGGTGCCATGGTTATCACGGGGCTCTCACAGACTCGCTATCAGGGTAGCACTCTTTCAAGAAGGTTTGAGAGTTGCACCTTCCGTGAACGCTGGACTCAGGCAGCAACACGAAGGAGGACTGCCGAGAGCACGTAGTTAGTGCAGAAGCAGGGAAGCAACGCGAAAGCAAGCATGCGATGATGGCTGCATCTTCAGATTGATCTTGATAGTTTCGGTGGCTGCCTCAACCACGGTTTTTCTACGGCATGCGACTCCACCCCTCCGCCAGGAAGTGGCTCGGCCCCTGGTGAAGGAGGTTCGGAGACGTAGTTTTTCTTTGCTGAATTTGTAGCTGTTTTCCTCCTCTCCTCTTTCCCCACCTGCGTGGCCCCATCTTGAAGGAGCGGGGCAAGACAGAGGAGACTATTGGCCTCATGGAGGACCACGGGGGGGCTCCCTGGTCTGCGGAGCTTGCTCTGTGCATACCTAGTGATGTCTGCACTTTATTTACACTCAGCCCACGACAGGAAGGAGCACCAAAACTGGTGAAGGCCGAACACGAGGTCAAGGCCAAGTCTGGTGACAAGGAGCTTTGGTTCTTGGGTGCACCCTGTCTGTATGTGAAGATCCACCCTGGCCGCAGGAAACGCAAAAAATCCTGAACAAGATCACTCGGGGAGAGGACGGTAAGTTCGACTTCATGTGGGACAGACGAGAGCCAGCAACAAAGAAAGAGCCACGCTGGCTCCTTTGCCCCTGGCCAGGAGCACGTGCGCGGCAGCCGCTTTAGGAAGGGATAAGAAGGGTTTACACCATCCTATCTCCTGTGAGAAGAAGAAATGGGAGAGGCAGAGAGAGAGAGGATTGCGAAAACGTCTCAGCAAAGGACGCTGAGCCTGACGGACCAAGCATTGGAAGTGGTAATTGGCCCCATGCTGAACCTCTTGTGCCTGTCAGCTCTAGAGAGGGCTGGGCGTGCAACAGAGCGAGATCCTCGACAAGGTCCATACGCATTATCCGGATTTGCTGCATCCATCTGCATCCTGGTCCACCGCCACCTTGCACACCACTTCCAGTGTCGAGTTAAGCCACCGACTTTTCTGTCCATCCCTTCGGCCAGTGCCCCGTCTGAACCTGACATGCCGAATCAACTTCTGGTGGATGTTTAAGGGAACTACAGGCATCAGCAGGTAGTTCGGGGAGGCTACTGCTGTAAGTCTGAAAAGAGACTTGGACGATTCCAAAAATGGAGGCTTGTGTGGGGTGATGCATGGCGCACCGACAGGCACAGGTAGGTGAGCAGGGCTATTTTGAGTTAGGCAGTCGATGAGCGAGCTTTTAACACTGGACATGGACGAATCTCTGGCCGGCAACGGGACAACTCGGCCAATCCACAGCCGAGCACGTTCAGTACTACTGGTGAACCCCCATGTCTTCGCAGGACTTCGAGACGAACAAGTGGCGGTGCATGTCCCGGCCGGACCAGGCAGCTCGGCAATCATGGTCTTTTTCCCTCGCTGAAGCAGGCTTAGTACAACATCGATGCAGGACAGCATCTTTGGTTACGCAAGCTGCCACTGAGTACGAACATTGTGAGAGTGGAATCACAAGGTCGCTCCGTGAGTTCACTTTCGAAGGAACTCTCCAGGACACGAAATTGGTGCTAAAGACAGATCCCTCTCTCCGGGCGTCTTTTGCTCCAGCTGTTGTGGCAGGTTCGAGGTCCGAGTCGGATCTAGGACAGACTCAACCTCGCGTGAGCAGCGTCGTCAGTCGCCGTCGTCGTTCTTACGATCATCGTTACTGGCGTTGTCGCTGTCGCTGTTGCTGTTGTTATTGCTGTTGTTGCTGCTGCTGCTCCTCCTGCTGCTCCTCCTGCTGCTGCTGCTGCTCCTGCTGTTGTAGTTGCAGCTGCAGTAGCTGCAGCAGTAGTAGTAGTAGCAGCAGCAGCAGCAGCAGCTGCTGCTGCCTTTGTTGTCGTCGTCGTCGTGTTATTGTGGTTGTTGCTGTTGCCGTTTTGGTTGTGCTTGCACACACTGTGCTGCCATCATTGCTGTCTTGCGACGTATTGGGACATGGGACCTTGCTGAATGCGCCAAGGCATACTACACCTTAAGCGGCTTTGCCAAGCTTGAAATAGATGCTTGGTTCGCAGAGCTTGTCTCTTCCAGGCAGGATTGCTTTGGCGGCATTGGTTGCTTCAGATTTGATTGCGGCATGGTGCCGTTTTGTCTGCCAGAGATTCTATTTCCTGAGACGCAGACCTGTCGGGCACAAGGACATCGTCGAGGCCAGAAAGCTGATCCCCTCTATCACCAGCAGCTTCGAAAAGTACACAGGACACCCCTCATGTGGCTTAAGATGGTGGCCAGTGGGGTGAGTGATCGTGTTGAAATTCATGTCAGCAGCGTGTACCTGAAGACTTGAGCACTGGAGTCTGCCCGGAGGAGATGAGCCAGACGGCTTCGTGAAGGTTTACGTTGATGATACTTTCAAGTACTCCACGCATGCCATCAACAACAACCGAAGCCCCAAGTGGAACGACCCGCAGACATTCGACATTGTCGCAGATCTTTCCATGATCCGGGTGCATGTCTTCGACTTGGATGGCGAGCCGGGCTCTAACCTCGAGGATCCCATCGGCTTCGTGGAGTTCTGCATTGCGGACATTCCTTTCGATGAGGCCCGGGGCTTCTGTGGGAAAAGGGGCCTGAACGTAGCATGGCCTGTGGCACTCTGTCACTCTCTGAACCTTGGGTTCCAGGAAATCGATGGATGGTTCGAGCTGCGATTCCCGAACAACCTCCAGGGCATCAACACAGATCGGTATTTTGAGCACATGCACATGCGTGAGGAAGAGAGCCTTGGCTGGAACTATGAGTTTCTTTGGGAGCAGCAACGACCCTGTTGGTTGCTACTGGTTTGAGACGGCTCTTGAAAAAGGAGTCGGAACATGTCTGGCAGATCTCACGCCCAAATAGTTGTTTGCAATCTGCACCTGGGTGGCGAAGGCGTGGGTTTTACTCTAATTTTCGATGGCGCACACAGTCTCCTACGTTCGGTTAGCAGTATCTTAGGGGTTTTAGGGTTTAGGGTTTATAGGGTTTAGGGTTTAGGGTTTAGGGTTTAGGGTTAGCAGTATCAGTAGGCCACCAGGGCTGACTAGCAGCGTACCCTGTTCCTCGTGCAAGGAAACGGCAATCTCGGCCGACAGAGCCTCCGCAGAAGGCAAAGGGTACGGAGGACCAGAGCTCCCATTCTGCTTTTGTAGGAGCCTTAAATATTGAAACCCCTAAACTCAGGGACCAGAAGCCCATTCTGCTTTTGTAGGAGCTTTTGAAACCCCCTTTAGAAACTCAGTTGTCCGAGTGTGAACGCCGAAACTCAGTTGCGAGTGCTGAAACTCTAAACCCTTTGGCATGCCCCAGCTGAGACCCGTCGCCTGGATCCGTGCCTGCTTTGCTCGTGTGAAGGTCGAAACCCTTGACATATACTGACATGCAGCGCCCCTGTGCAGGAAAATCCTGATCTTGAAGATGAGACTTTGCACGTATTAGGGTTCAGGGGTGTAGCTATGGTCGGATTATGCTTCTTTCGCGTGGGTTCTCAGTACACAGGACACTTCCAACCTGCCAAGCATCGCAACCCCGAGGACGTTTACATGCAGAGTGTTGCAAAAGTCCGAAGCGGAATGATGGGCCGGGCACTGAAGAGACTCAACTTTATCGCGGCTAAGCTGCAAGACATGGAGAGTTGATGCATTGAGTTCATGTGCTAGTTTCGCTGGCGACATACCAGGATGTACTGACATGAACCTTCACATCGAAGGGTTTGCAGAACTTGCAGCGCATGTTGCCTTGGTGTTTTTGCAAACAGATGGCTGAAAAGAGACCGTACCATTCAAGCAGATGGCATCGTCTCTTTGCCCTTGCTCAGCTCTTGCTTGTGATTCCAGTCACTCATCTTGACGCCGAGATGATTGTCTAGATAAGCAGAGGCGGTAGGAGCAGTTCGGCCGAAATCGTATTGATCATCGTAGCAATAACAGTAGTAGTAGTAGT